TTCATGTTTGTGTGAAACCATTGAGGAAACGTTATGGTTTGAATTTACTCGTTTGCTATACATGCTAGGATATTTTGCCATAGAGGCCAAATCAGGCCTATTTGTGTGGCAACTCCCAACACTCAATTGGCGACGCTGTTATCATGTGTGAAGCCAAGCAGAGAGTTTAAGAGGGGTTGGAGGTGGGGCAGGGAGGAGGGTGGGGGATTCGGACGAGATGAATTACTTAAATCTACTAGTTTTTCATATTTCCCTCTCCCATCTTCATAATGTACTTCCATCGCAGTCGAGAATGGATGAGCTAATGTCATTAGTGACTCCTGTGTAAAGTGTGCTTGTTAATACGCAGTAATATTGTGATCAGCATATTGGCAATGCAGACTACAGTGGTAGGTAGTAAGAGCACACAGAAGCTTCAGCAATCGAGGATACTTCAAGATCCCAAGTTGCATAGAGTAAGTCGCATTTCACAAGTGCAAATGTTTATTATCAACAATTATATCCCCTCTTTGATTAAGTCATTATCATAAGAGATTCAACAGATGTTGTGAGTCAAAATGAAACACATTTTCAGTATTTCAATGGCAATTTATTTGAATAAAAATAATAATATTTAATAATGAAGATAATTATTGTGATAACGGATAATGGGCGAATGTTGATTACAGAATAGGTAATGTTTAATTTTAGGATCAAACGTCTAATTGACTGAGTATCGAACCAAATTGATTGCAGAAAGTGTATTATTAAATGGTTCACATTTGTTGTGACCTCGTGGGTCAAAGCGCAAATGATAATCACACTAGACTAACCACCAATTATCCACTAAGTGCACATTCCTCGTCTGTGCCTGAAATGCTATTTCACTCAAAATTACATTTATCACTTACAATCCAGTTTGGAAGAATTTTAAATAAGAGACATTTTAATAAGTTTTGAGACTACATTGTGGAACGGTGCAATACGTCAACTCAACTTTAACAAACATTTCAGGAAAAAATAAACAATTACATGTAGTTGAAGTGCCACAATTTTATGTGGCTCCTTGGTCCTTTGGATCAACTGGATGTGCTTCACGAACACTTTATTTCATATTGTTAACCCTTTCTATGAAGTCCGTTGAAAGAGAACAAATTCTTTGTCAACTCAAACGGCTTGAGGAAGGTAACTTCTCAGTTCTTGAATATGAAGCATTCAGACAACCTGATGACATCTATGACTCCAGTGACTCCATATCTGACCAGACTCGACGCTATTGCTGTTAGGAAAGCTCCCACATTTAACTTAGAGCACTCTGAAATTTGACCGAATTAGTAGAGAAGTGGTATCACCTCCAAACCTAAAGGTGCACATCCACAGTACTTTGATAAGGAGGTGTCAGGGTGGACATCTTATCAAGTCTCTCAGAGTCACGTTTTAATGGATGTAAAGTCGAGACTGTGGGCTGAAAATGCGTTGAAGTTATCAATAATTGGAAAAATATCTGCCATTTCTCCTTTGCCATGTTACGAACTCGTGTTATATTTTCTTTTCAATAGCATTGGAAATAACGGTCCACACTTATGACTGCATACTATGAATTTCGACTTTACCGAGATCTTAATAGTTAAGAAGTGATGAAGTAATTCACTTGTAGGGCAGAGTTATTCAATTCATTTTGTCATGCATTGTACTTTCAAAATTTTGCTCAACGTAAAAACTCAGGAAAAATTCGAAGTTTTAACCAGGCTGTTCCACCATCAGGCCTATTCTAATTACAAAATGACGATATATGCAAATAATTTGTGCTACTGAACACAATTTACCTTTGTTTCAAATAGATCTTATCATCGTTATAGTCGCAGCCGAGGCAAAACGGAATATAATTCTTTCTTTACACTTATCCGAACCTCCGTTGTTTAAATTCAGTACTAATTAAGTTTAGTTTGGCACTCTTCTACATCTCGGTTTTTTCTACTATTTAGTGAAACCGAACCTACAATGATTTCTATAAACCTTGTGATTATTAAGATGAAATTCGCTCTTTTGAAAATAAAGACAGTGAGTGCGATTTACTATCAAAAGGGAGGAAAGATAATAGACTTCTTTGTGTAACCAAATATGTAATGAAATTTTAAAATAGTATAAAGCCATCTAAAGTTCAAAACACTGTTTTTGCTTATAGATAATGCAATGTCAAATAATTATTCCCGTATTATTGGGAGGTAAACATAAATTTGTAACAACCATTTCGACCAAAACTTTTTTAAATTTCACATGAAATAATCTAGTTTGTTCAGAGGGTCTTTGATAATCTGTGTCATGTTCAGAAAAGTACATAGGAGAGAAATTCTCCTTCAGTACACTTTTGCCTGTGATTAATATTTTCAATTGAGAATTTCCATCAATTCTTAGCTGATTGGAAATCCAGAAGTTCAAGATTATTTTCGACAACTTAAATAAAACCAGATTTTCGTTAAAATACTTCAAAGAAATAAGCCACATGCTACTAATTATAAATCCAGCTTTGATATTTATGAATGGATAAAAATTCATGTTTTGTGGTAACGGTAATACGACCATGTCTGAATTTAATTTGAGATAATCTTGCTCAAAAGCTGTCATTTCAAGATTAAAAGAAAATGACAAGTATTTGCATGCTCTAAGAATTATTAAAATCGGTTCATTTCTAAACGAATTACCTCGCTATAAGACGCCAGTAACAAGGACAAATAAAAATTCGAGCACTAATAAGTTAAAGATAAAGCAAAACCAAAATTCAAGTTATATAACTTGAGGACTGTTGTGAAAGAAAGGTTTATTTTATTCTTAAATATTTATTCCATCATTATTGATGGCATTTGTTAATTCACCCAATAACCTTGAGTAAATTTCAAACTATACCCCTATAGCCTTTTCATGCGATTCACACGATCCACATATATACATCGTTTTTGCCATATCATTTAAACTGTTTAATCTGGTATGAATATTACTCGTTGTGATTATATGTTTTACGTGGTTTAGTTCACCTTATTTTATTTATTCTCGTTTCAGATCAACATGGATGCTCCTAAGAGGCCTAGGCGCCAAGCAGCACAGTAAGCGTATATTTGTGTGAAAATTTTCAGTGTACTTACTGATTTTCCAGCTAATTTTACTTTGTGTCATACTTGTTAATATTTTATTTGGACTTTATTTTCAAAGTTTTGTATATATTGTTGAATTCCATGCTTTTTGTTTTGAAACTGACCTCTTTTGTGTGACTTAAATTGTACCCTTTCAAAAAATGCTGTAATTGAAATTATTAAGTTAATAACTCTAAACAGCATTCAGTGCTTCTGTTTTTATGAAGTATACATAATCAGGTAATCGCTGCTAAATTTATTTTTAGCGTTTGCTTTGCTTACAATTAGTTGAGCTGAATCTTACAGATTTGATAAAATTGCCTGTTTTGCCCGGATTTTGAGTTTTTAAGCCAAGATTTGTACTTCGTGCAACTTTTCAAGCTTCTTTTGTATATTCATGGATTACCTCAGGAATATCCTACATCAACCTGACTTCTATTAAGTTGAATAGTTAACCGTTCGACCTTGTGAACTATCCTCATATTAATAAAATATTGATTGATTAGCCTATTCTATTAGTCATGCATGGTAATTGTTTTCCACTATTATATTCCCTATTTCTATTTATAAACATCACTACTATATCTACTCATTGAGTGTTTCACAATTGTTCTAATGTAATAGATGTTTGGTCATTTATTCCTTTTGGGAACTCATCGTATTCCACCAGGATTGATTTATTCTATTTCATGATATGTTAGTGTACTTTGGTTAGTTCCAGAATGATTTCAATTATCCTGACCTTAATTCTTACGTGTTTTCTAAAATAGATGGAATTTCTTTTTTGTGGTAGCTTTGTCTTGACAGTTTTAAGGGTTGTGACAATTAATTTGAAGACTTCACAGTTGAATTAGTTCACTTTTTCCTCAATCATTTACATGTGGACTCTTTTTGCATTACGGTAGATTGTTTGCTAAAATTAACTTATAAGAGCGCTTTTGATACTCCACGGCTGTTGTTTCACTAATTTTCCGGACGTGTGTCTCACATTGAACTCTTAACTTCCAATTTATTCGTTTTCACCCGCGATTTATTACATTTGGTAGAATGTTGAGGAATTGGCTTGAAATGAGTTGAAATTCTTCAAGGACTTGCTCTCGGTTGCACATTCTGCCTCATTCGATTGTGTTGTTATGATTTTCTGGTGATGATTTATATTTTTTGACCATTTAACAAAGGACGGATTCCAGTGTTTATACTTTATTTTACCTTCCCCTGTCATAATTCCGGTTTTTCAATAAACTTATCCATCTAAACGCTTTCCCTGATATCGAGTTTATTCCGTTGAATTCTTTTAGATTTTTGAAGACCCCTTGTTTTTTGCCGTTTTGTTTAACAGGGCTGTTATGTCTTTCCAAAACTACTTTAGAAGCATGTTTTCAAACCAAATGAATATAATTTTTCCGGCGCACTAGAGCACTAATAATGCATTGTTGTTTATTTGCATATGTAGAAAAGCGATGTCAGCGTTTGTTCTGCCCGAAGCAAGCGGTGAAGATACTGATGAAAGCAGTGAAGAAGAGATTTCTGACTTTGATGAAAACGGAGGGGATGATGATCCTTCGTCGACTTCTAGTAGCCCCAGCACCAACCAATCATCATCGGCTAGTGCCACAGTCGATAACGCTTCCGATGATGAACCGATTCGACGTTCCAATCGTCCCTCCTTTCTGCCCCCTTTCTACAAACTTCTACCTCCTCTAGGGCGAGTTGGTTTCAATTCAACGGATCCCAAAGGAATTGTCATGGATTTCTTCAAAGACGAGCTCAATTATCGGGCTTCTATTGGCTCAAAATATCCCCACCCCTTCTGCTTCTTTACGCCGTAAGTGTTTCCACGTGCTCTAGTTCCATTCTTCTGTTTAGAAAATCGGGTCTATCGGAAATGTCTACTTTCATGGAGCGACAAAAGCTCCTCTTCTCGCTGAATAATTTCACTGCAGTGTCTCAGAAGTGAGTCTAGTATTTTGTTTGATGTTAATTTTGATAATTTAGTGAAATTACAAATTATCTCCCGGAGTCAGTTCATTGTCCCAAGATGGTGTTCTTAGAGAATCAGAAGAGAATGAAAGCCACTCGTTATCATTTTAATGAAGGTAGGATAGACGACTCAGTAACTTTTTTTTAGCACTACTGCATGGTCTATGGTGTTTCTCACTGTTTATTCTTTGTAGAACGCCATCTCATATATACCGGTGGCTATGTAAAGTGTCTTGATTGGTCACCGCCTTATATCGAGGATACAGGTGACTCCCTGACGTGTATCCCCAAGTACTTGGCTGTAGCTTCCTATCCCAATAATGGCACACGTGTCACACTTAGTGACCCAATCATGAAAGAATTTGGCCTAATTCATATTTGGGCTTGCAGTGGTTTGGCCCTTACTAAAGAGTAAGTGCTTACCATTATTATTATTATTATTATTATTATTATTATTATTCTTTTCTAACGCTCGATATTTTGATATATATTGATAAATGTAGGGTCAAATACGGTCTCATACAATAAATTCACGATATCAATAGCCTTAATTTTTGTATTACAATCATTTACATGCCCTATGTTCTAATATGTGTATGACTGCAATTTTGGTATCCACACATGTTCCAAATCTAAATTCTACTGGCTTGATCCCTTCCGGATTTCTGAGTAAATTCACATCCACAGTGTGCAGAGTTTCAGGAGTCGATTTAATTGAAACGTTTGGTTTCATCACACTTTGGTTTATTTGGATCGTTTTATGGCCTCATGGAAGTATATTAGAATGGCATTAACGTATTAAATCAAACAGAGCACATGGTGAAATGCAAAAGTAATAATACATTTGATATATGAAAATGGTTGTGTTTTAAAATTGGTTCTTATCAAAAATGGGATTTAAAAAAAAAGGGTTTTCCCATTCTTGATTCTTTGGTGGAGTTCAAAATCACTGCTGTTGTTCTAGTTTCAAACTATGAGGTATAAATGAAGGTAGAAGAGCAGTATTGAGAAATGAGCCGGTGTAGTTGAAGGACTAGAAGACACTGATGTACTTCACTATTATGAGTGTGGATCATGGACAGATAGATTCATCCTAATTCTACAACTTTGGAAGCTTTTTTCTTTAGGAACATTATCTCCCTTCCCATACTCTAACGCACCACAGCTCACACGTCCCTAGCTCCTCGACTTTTGATATGGCTATCGTTTAATTATACTCATTTTCTGTCCCAATGTATTCAATTAAGTCCTGTTCTTTTCATTAGACTCTACTGATTAAGGCAGCCTCAGAATATAACCAATGCTTACAGTTTTACAGAGAAAGTAGGGTTTTGGCACAGTGCCGTATAGAGTTAACACTTGAGCACTTTTAATCAATAAAATGAGATTGAGTCAGGTGGTAAGGGAGACTATTACTATCGTAGTTTCGTTATGTTAGGTAAATAATTATCTATAGGAACTTTTAAAGGTTTAGATGTTCAAGTATGCCCTGATTTTTAAAATCCAGTTTCCCGAATGTTGAAAAATTGTGTGGAGAATCGTTCTAAAGCTTTGTGCCTTGGTCGATGCCATCAGGGAGTACCTAGTGCCTCAAGAAACTCCACCGGGGTTAAGTCCGAGTCCATGGGACAGAGTTCGAGGGGGGTACGTCTGCTATGTGCGCAGTCACGAGATCATTAGGAAGCATCCAGCTGTATGCTAACCAGATCGCTTTCATCCATTCAGGTGAGCAGAGGAGGCAGAGTTTATCGGAAGAGTGGCTTTAAATTCATTTCCTAAAACGCAATTAAAATTTGTTGTGTAGCGATAGTGCGACGAAATGGTCAGCCCCACTGTTAGATTTGGCCTATTCAAACTTCTCGTCTGTGGGTGGGCTTCATGATACAATCCTACATGCAAACATAAGCGCTTGAGGAAGCACTTTCCTACGTAGTCTCGGGTTTTAAAGGCCAACTGTCATTGACAAATCAATTGTCAGCTTGTGCCTTAGCGGTGTTTTATTTTGTGTGAAGCATGAGGTTTGCTTCTCAGTCTATAAATGGATTATTGGCTCCTTGGGCTCAGAGCTTAATTACTCTGGTATTTCAAGGTATTGATTCTATAACTCTCATTTGCTAGCTTTGTCAAACTCTAAATATTCCAACACCAAGGAGCATATTTGTAGCTCAATGAACATTTTTTGTTTGTGAGATAATAGATTTAAAATTGCCTACACAGTAAACGGTTTGAACGATTTTCTACTCAATAATGGTCTTGCGTATTTAGGCGTGAGTGTATAAATCTGATAATCAATAATCGAGTGCTCAAAAAATGAAAGCTCTGTGCGTTTCAATTGATTTCGCTAAAAAATCTATTCAACTGGATATCCAACGCCTTGTGTCTTTTTTCATCGCAGACAATCCCGACCCGATGTAAAACCCCACTTCTTCCTGGCCCATGACTGGGGTTACATAATGGACTTGAAGTGGATTCCAATTCCCGTCCAGTATGCGAAGGTAAATCCACCACCGCCCCTACCGTATGGACCAGCGACCGGTGGTGATCAACCCAAACCCTCCTCCAGTGTTTCGCCCTCCTTAGAATTTCATCCCACCCAAGTGGATCAATTAGTCGGCTGTGTTGTAGGTCATCTCATTGCCGCGTGCACTGATGGATTTGTTCGCATTTTACCCATTCCATGTCATGATAATCGAAAGCGAATTGCGCCGGGTGGGAAGTTGGTTATTCCTACCTCTATCTCTGCAGACGGCGTGCCACAAAATATTTACAAACTGAAACCGAGTGGAGTTCTTCTGTTGGCTCCTGGTGCGGGTAAAGGTGAGTGTGGATTCGATTCATATAATAATTTCATTAAACATCAACTGATAAAACGGGATCAGGTTGTGAAATGTGGTTAATTGGTTTTTTTTAAAGCATCTATTTCTGCAGAACTCAAGTTGTGATTGCCGTTACTTATCTAATTTTTTCATGATTTGAACATTTTGCTGTATTCTGTTCAGCTAAAGGTCGGTTGTAAAGGGCCCTGATTGACAGTTGCAGACATTGATTATTAAAGGCTAACGTTTATATACTAGTCCGCATTCTACGCTTCACTAGCCATTCATCTTCAAGTAGACAAAGGAGGCCTATTTCTAAGGATTAACCATTCGATGGCAGTTCTATCCTTGGATCTGCGCGACTATTGGTTGGTGTGTGAGCTACAGTTTACAACTGATTCGCTTTACCTTTTCTTAATTTTGTTGGACAATGGGTGATATCTAGACAATGCTTTATAAGAAACTCCGTAAATTTCTCAATCGGTCAGATGGTAGTGGTCATCATTGCAAAACGGTCACTTTTTCAAACGCATTTCTTTGTCCATCTTTCTATCTTTCATGCTATTTTAGTGCTTGCACTCTTTCTTTCTGTATTTCCTCAATTCGACCACCCTTTATTCTATGACTATTTTTTGCTGATCTCACTTATCCTGCCATATTTGTTTTGTAGAGATTCCACCCTGGCTTGGTTGGCCCAATTTACTCGCTATACGAACTGGATTCCCTCATTATCTTATGGTTGCCTACACTAGTGGTTAGTTTAGTGACCCACACTCTACTTATTTGATTATTAGTAGGTAAGATATTAACACCCTTGTTGCTGTTAAAGGTCATTTAGGTATTTACACAATTTCCACCTTGGATTCCTTCGATTTACGCATCAAGGACAACCTCTTGCGGCCCACACTTCTTACGCACCGGCAACCGGGACCTTTTTCTTCAATTGCTCTTCATCCTCTCCGAGAAAATTATGTTATTGGATTAGGTAAGGTCGTAAGGTCACGTAATTTCTTTGTGATTTGAGTAGCGATAATATGGGTGGTAAATTATCGTGAGTATTCGACCAAGTTAAACTTGTATATATCCCTTTAAATATCGAATGATCATAAGACTTTGGTGACAAAACAGACTTTTCAAGTTTTCAAGACCAAGAGTTGATTTGGAAAGCTGACATTTAACATATCTATTGGGAAGGGGGAAGAAGAAAAGCTTGAATGAACCAAGGTTGGAAATAGTAGACTCCATTATGGACTACCAGTGCATATGCTTGCAAAAGTTATCTGGTTTGTCTGAAGGTGGTTTCATGATACTATAAATGTTTACTACCTCAAGAAGGATTAAGAGACAGTGGTCGAAAGAAAACGGTTATGTTCTTAGTATAAACCCCTCGAGAAGGCACACAACAAAGCATTACGACTAATTACTGGAGGGATAAAATCAACACCCATTGATGCAATGCTCCTAGTTACAGGAAGCACCACAATATGTTTCCTTATCAAAGAAAAGGCCTTGATCCTGTATGAGAAGCTACTGCGCATTCCCATGGACAAGTTCTTCAGCACCTATGAGAATAGACCAAGACATCTGAAAACGCAATCTGGTCTAATACAGAAAGCCATAGAACTGAAGAAAGAATTACAAATTGATGACAAACCAAAAAGCCTCTCTCTCTCCCCATGAACCCATTAGCAGACACTGATGTAGTGTGTTGCACCCAACTGCTCGACTTCTTCAG